GTGTGTGTGATATGCGTCCTTTGGCTGCGCGCCGTGGCACCGTGGCGCAGCGCCCGCGCGCTCCTGCCCGTACAGCTGACACCCTCGGGAGAAAAGGGAGTCGCACCTGAAACCTGACAGTGTTCGGCCTCACCGGAAGCCTCACCTCTGGTTTCCTCTTGCAACAGGTGGCGGAGCCAAGTGACGCACGGATCGAGCAAGGGCTGCAGAAAGGGAAGACGGGAAGTATGGATTTCAGGCGCGCAGCCCCGCAGCGTGGCTGGATTTGATTAACTTTAGTGGTGCTGATGATGATGATGATGAAGCAGCAGCAGTGGGGGGTTGAGATTACATCAGGAAAGTACATAAGGGTGTTATGCTCCACTTAATTTCCCAAATTTGACAATAAAACCTGTAACAAGTATTGATTATTGTCATGATTTCTTTACATTTCTGTGCTTAAAATCTGAACATTTCAGTGTATTTCTTCTTTATTTTCTAATTACGCACCACTATTAAGTGTTAAATACTTAATTCTTGCATCCATCTCCTCACACAGATCCCAAAATAGCCTCACCAATGAGTCAGGAAAGCCCCGCTTTGTGCAGTCTTTGTAAACAAGCTAATATTTGCAGTACGTTTTAACCTTAACTCGGTTCTCCAAAGCACTCGACGGCGTGTTTCTCACTCAACCAGTCGCTCACGCACTCAGACACTAATGGCAATAATCAGGTTTGTTTTTTTTTTCTCAATGGAGTTGGTTGCGTAACAGGTGTTCCACTGTTAAAGTGTCTAATTGTGTTATTCTGTCGTGTTTTCTTGTTCCCAGCAGAAATTAAACTGGACTGAACAACTCTTCTGGCCTTTCTGTGGAGCTTTCACTTGAAAAATATTAACTGAGGTCAACAAAATGAACTTCTCAGCCAGTGCATAATCACTACATGAAAGAAGTTGTGGAAAAACTGTTTCAAATCCTAATGCCGACACACACGTGCAGCATCGCTCTGCTGTAATATGTGATTAATGCACTTTAGACGTGCAAAAGAAGCTTCCAGAGCCGTGTGAAGGTGCTAAGATACGTAAAGCAGGTGCAATGTGTCACTTCTTTTACTGTAAAGGTCAATTTTCTTCCATTTTTTTACATTAAAAAGTTCCATTTGCTCTCTGAGAAGAGCATAACTTAACGTAGCGCCTTTTCTTCCATGTTTGACAGACATATTGTGACGGGCGATGATCTGCCGTACAATAGATTTTACACATTCGGGGAGTTTTTAACGTCTGAATAGTGAATTTTGAATGCGTTCGTGATGCTTTGACAGTCCCTCCGATACGCTCCGCTTCACAAAAACAGCCGCTAATTATGGACCCTTCAAACTGTAAGTTATCTTCGCTTTGATCATTTCATTTTATCTCTTTTATTTTTCCAACTATTGGAAACCTCTCCTGATCGATCGGCTCGCGGCGATGCGAGCAGGCCGGGGTGTGGCTGGTAAGGAGCCTCGAAAGGCAGCCAGAGAGCAAATCAAGAGCTCCTCCTCGTCGTTGTGCGGTGGGATTAACACGAGAGAGAGAGAGTGTGCTGATATTTGACAGCGCTGGACGTGTTCCTACGCTGGCTGTGAGTGGCCTGAGGGAAGCAGGCCTACCAGAGAACGAGCCAGACAGTTGGCAAAGCCCCTGCTTCCGTCTCAGCTGTCGTTGGTAGTCTGGCCATGTGGCCGAGACGCTGCTTCCTGTGTCCAAACACTGGAGGAAAAAAAAAACAACCTTCAATCTCATGTGCCCTAATCCCATTTGCTGGATTAACACAAAGCACATTTAAATGCGTCTCTTTTAAAAGGGACTCTCTGCTCTCGTTCCGTCCCCCCTCGCAGCCACTGTGACTGAATGTTTCCTGGTGCTGCAGGAGTTAGTGTTTGATGTGTCGCCCTCATCTGGACAGAAGAGCAACTGCACCCACATTCACAAGACACAGAGGCAGGTAGTGCAGCTCAGGTGAGGTTTGCTCGCCGTGTTTCCTCGTTTTAATAACGTCCCATAGATTTTTTTATTGGAGCTGGTGGCACACTCACTGATCAATGGCCTGTTGGTGTCACACACACACACCTGGAGCAGATGCAAAACTAATAATGATGCAAACCTCCGTCCACGTCTGGTGTTTGGAAGCTGAAACTTTCCCTCCTTTTATTTCATTAATATTCCAGCAGTGGGGAAAAAAAAAAAGCTGTGAGATTTATTTGAAAGGTTCCTCCTCATAATAGAATTAGTATTTCTAAATATGATTTACTCCAAAAGGAAATCCAGACGGTGAGCTGTAAGGGGCTAAATTTAAATTCCTGCACAGCGCGGATGTGTAATACAGTAATGGAAAAAATGAGGGACACACCGGGACAAAGGCTTCCTCGACAATCTGTTACGCTCGCTCTAAATCTCGTCTCAATTCAAGACACGTCATGGCAGCACAAAGGGAGGCCTGCAGTCTTTCATTCTGGGACCTGGTCTGCACTTTATGAAAGTCTAATGTAAGCAGTAAAAATGGGGCTGAGCATAAAGCAGCGCTGGGATCACCGGGTTTTTTTTTTTTTTACTGCTCCGAGCTGTAAATTTGACACTGGTGGCAGCAGAGGAGTGCGAGTGGAGATATTCGCCGAGATTGGAGGGAGAGTTTATGGCACGGTGCTAACTCACGGCGGTGGGAGGAGCCTTCAGATCCTCCACCGGAGTAGCAGCGCTGCAGAGAAGTTGAGTAAATGTCCTGCCTTCATTGTTAAAGTAAAAACTAAACGTAGTCATTATGACAATATAATTACTGATGCATTAATGTGAGCATCACTTTAACGGGGCTGATCCTGATCACGTCACAGGCTGTGATCCTGCACAGGTATCAATA